TATGTATCAGGCTCTTTATGACTGAGAATAAGTCAATCAATCTGTGATATAGATTGTTTTCCTACGCCCACCACTCAGGCTTACGTTTCCAATATTATGCTGGATTAGCTATCCTACTGAGACAACCCATAGCATGCTAACTCGGACTTCTACACTAGGATTGTGTGGCTGGCATCGGATGGACAAAAAAAGAAAAGGAAGAAAAAATTAGACAATGAAAGATATAGTCATTAGTACTCTTAACACTTCACCTTCTCTATGCACACTCCCTTCTAATAAACCACTTTCCTTGTACCACTCATGACTTCCCTTCCTTCATGTGAGCTTACTTCAACTTGTTAAACATTACAACTCATTGTTCTTTATTAATACATTCTCTTATATAGAGCGTCTGACTTCATTTCACTCTAACAAGAGATAATATGAATTTAATCTAATTTATTATGCCTCTCTGTTTGACTACAAAGTGTTAAGCAACGTTTGGCGTTCGTAACCAAGTGCATTGTTGCTCTTCTGTTTCTCTTTTATTTCTTCAGAGTCTTGCTCTGAGGGCACAGCTATGGAACTTCTGACGTCTGGAACAAACTTGACATACGCGTCTCCTCTGGTCATGGTTTACAGCAAGCGCTCTACGAGTCTACTTTACCACAACTACAAACTTAATAAGTTGGGGCGCATGCTGTGAGCCAACAAATGTTGTAATTTGTAGATCATGTCTAATAAAATGGCGTGTACCTGCTCATGCATATATAGATTATTATTATTAGATGGCAGTTGCAACTCTAGAAGCATTTCGTGCCAACAGACGTTGGTTACCAACCGTAATCCATATGCACCTGGGTTGGCCACATGACGCTAGGATAAAGCACAAAGGCAAGTCGGAGCTGACCATTCCACTTGTGGACTTTCTTGATCATAAAAAACTTGTAAAGGACAGGGCCTTCCAACTCGGGAAACCTGATATAGGTAGGGTACCTGTCTATTCACGTAAGGCTCATACAGACAAACAGGAAGAAGCTCACACGTTTCAAATTGAAGGCATAAACTACTTATACACGAGCGCCATGAGTTTACCAAATAAAATGGATGAGCTACGTGAAATTAGCAATGTTAATAAGGCTCATCTGACAGGAATATCTGAAACTTGGATATCTTCTCATTTTACGGACCAGGAGCCAGCAATACCTGGGATGTCTTTGTTTCGCAACGACAGAAAAACAGGAGTTGAAGGTGGAGTGCCCGTATACATACGATCCTGCCTGGAGGTACACCAAGTTCGATGTACCTAGTCGGGATCATATACAGGAAGCCCACTGCCGACATCGAGTATGACAGTCGTATGCTGGAAGGACTATCCCGCTCTACTCGTCTCGGTTTCACTCATATCCTGATTCTGGGGGACTTCGATCTCCCTAGAGTCGATTTCGCGGGACACACGTATATTGGAGGTGAAAACTCAACTGAAGCTCTGTTCTTCAACCTCATTGAGAATCTGGGATTATTCGAAAATGTGAAGTCGGCAACTCGTTGGAGAAACAGTCAGATACCATCGCGCTTAGACTAGGTATTTACAAACGAAGAATTTTAAGGTGACAACCTCTCAAACCTGGCTCCCCTGAGAATAGCGATCACGCTGTTATAGCTTTTAGTTTTGTCAGCATAACTGAGCCAAGATATTCCATCAACAACAGGCGCTGGGATTTCAAACGGTTGAATTTTTCAGCTCTACAGGACTATCTACAACAGGTGGATTGGGATGTTCACCCTCAACTTGATGTGAATGCTCATTGGAACTTCTTACTGCACACACTCTTATGTGCTACAGAGCGGTCAGTTCCTCAAACGGTCCCCAAAAGCTACAAGCAACCTAAAATCATCAAGAACCGCACTATTCGTTTGCCAACCCGCAAAAGGCACTGTTGGGCAGAATAGAAACGAACTGACAACAACGGCGCGTACAGGCAATACAAACATATAAGGAACATATACACGAAGGCTAAGAGAGAAGATAAGCTTCAGTACCAGATAAAACTTATGGATAAATTTGTCTCTAATCCGGAAAGCTTATTGCGTTACGCAGCCTCTCTTCGTCAGGCCGAAACCGGAGTTTCCCAACTGCTAGGTCCTAATGGCCTGATCAATAACGACGGTGACACTGCCGACCTTTTGGCTGGACAATACTCTCGGACATTTCAACCGACCCACATAAACTGTACTGAGGACACCTTCATTTGCAACTGCACAGGACTTTCCGTAAAGAACCTGAGCGCTGGCTTGGTGTTCCGGAAACTGCAGCACCTAAGGAACGCCACTTCTTCTGGCCCAGATATGATTCATTCTGTTATACTGAGGGAAGCAGCCTCAATCCTGGCGACACTGCCTAGCGTGATGTTCTCACACTCGCTAGGCCGAGGCAAACTACCGGAAATTTGGGAGCTGGCTCACATCACACCAATTTTTAAAGGAGGTCGACGCAATGAACCTTCAAGTTATCGGCCGGTGGCTCTTCTCTCTATACCTTCGAAAATCATGTAGTCCCTGATATGTGATGGTATACGTGATTATTTACTGTCTTAAGTTTCTTCTCACCCCAACAGCATGGTTTCAGGAAGGATTACTCTTGTATAACCAACCTGCTGACTGCAGGGGGCAGATGGAAAAGCATCCTCGATCGCAAGGGGAAGGTTGATATCGTTGACCTTGAATTGTCAAAAGCTTTTGATAGGGTTAACCATATATGTCTTATCAATAAGCTCAAACGATTGGGCATCAGACCACCTCTAATCGATTGGCTCATTCATATCTGAAAACCGACATTTTAGGGTCAGGGTTAACTTCACTTTATCTCAGGCTATGGAATGTCCTAGTGGGGTCTCCTAGAGCTCAGTACTAGGACCTCTTCTCTTGTTGATTTATATAAACCATCTTCCACAACAAGTATCGTCAGACACTACTTTTTGCTGATGACGTGAAACTTTGGAGAGAGATACGCAACCAAGACGATATGAAGGCAGTTCAGGAGGATCTGACTCGACTTTAAAGTTGGGCAGACGATAACGGACTTTAACACTTCAAAGTGTAAAGTAGTCCATCTGCGACATGTTGCAGACTATCGTTACAACTTAGGAAACTTCTTTCTAGCAGTATCCCAAGTCGAAAAATATTTAGGAGTCCTGGTACCCTACGATTTAAAGTCTTACGCTAACTGTGACAAAAATGCCTTTAGAGCAAACCTTGCACTGGTAACATTGAAGTGCATTTTTGGCCAGTTTGACGGAAGAACTTTCCGCATAATCTTCAACAGTTTTATTCGTCTCCACTTAGAGTACGGAAACATAATATTTCCTCCCTCACTCCAAACGGATAAGGACACTCTTGAGCGTATCCAACGGCGAGCCACGAAATCAGTCCGGGGACTTAAATTCAAACCTTATGAAGAGCGCCTCCAATCATTTAATCTTTACCCATTAGAGCATAGGCGACTTAATGGTGACCTTCTAATGGATTACAGTACCCTTAACACTTCTGGACATCCCCTTAAACACCTACTTAATCTTAGTTTCAACAGTAATCTAAGGGGTAACATCTAGAAATTGGAGACACAACATAGCATAACGGACTGTACACACAACTTCTACTCCTTAAGAGTTGTGAAATGCTGGAATTCGCTACAGACTGAACTAGCTTAAGCGACTTTCCAGGAGTTTTTTATGAGGAAACTTGACCTATGCTTAAGGACTTAGGATAACATCTTATTATGATTTACCAATTTCTTTTTTCCCTCTATTATCGATAACATACCTAGGTTCCTGCCTGTAGGTACTGGGCATCCACTTCTACTAGACACGGTAGCACGTTAAGCGAAAGCTTCTTCCATTCCGTCCACAATCATTTGAACCATTTGTTACTCCAGGATCATTCTCACCATTAAAAACTGGCTTGTTTTACCATTCCGTTTCAGAACAAGCCTAAAAAACTCATACATTCCCACTGTCAATGCTACTCCTCTATCACCCAGACACAGACCCCAAGAAACCATTAGTTTATGAACTTTTTCTAAACAGGGATTGAGGTTTGAAGTTTATGATCGAGCGCGTTCGTATAGTTGATTCGTTACTTTCAAACTGATGGCGATTAGGAGGAGAGCGGATGTCTTGGATCCAGACTTTACTGTTATAAGACGACAAATATCAAAACTAATGCAATATAGCATTCACGATTGTAAAAGCTTTCTCTTGATGTTAAAATCATTGTTTCCGAGTTCAATCAAGTTAGAAGTAAACGTCTAATAATGTATCACACTTAGATAATTGAGTATGAACTTATGCAGGAGTATGGAGACGCTACTTTGGCTGCTGAAATTCTGTGTCGTCTGTAATCATGTTCTATATCATATTAATCATGTAGGTATGAAACTCAAAGGCATCTTGATATGACACAGATCGAACTTCTTAGCAAAATAGTTAAGGATCCTACTGATAAAGTGTGTTGTGGTAAGTTTGTTTGCATATTTAACTCCTTTCACAGATATATTCTCGCACACCAACCCCTCGCTACAGAAGGATTTGACATTATCTTACTTCAACCAGATGTCCGATGAGCTGGGAAGAGCGGAAAGCATTATTTTTCTACTGAATCTTAAAGACGTAGTCTTTTACCCCCAGGTTCTACCCGTACTTTTGGCACTGGTTTACCAAAGCCTCATAGACGGTGAGCTCTCCATGCATAAGAGTAACCGAGTCTCAACCAGCAGTGGTATAATGTGCCATTCATCACCCGCAGATAACTATGGATCGTTAATAAAGTAACTGGTTCAATGCATAGCTTAGGTTTCAGAAATGAGAATGTTGACGAGGGTGAAGAGGGAGAGGTAATGGGATGTGATGACGAGGACGAGTTTGCGGATGAACTTGACAATCCAACTCCCGAGATCGGAGATAATCCTTGGACTGATATATCTAGTTCAGTCCTCAATGTTTATCGTTTCAAGATAACTTATTAATTGCTTCCACTAGCGTACAAGGTAATCTCTATTAAAGAAATATTTGCTTTCTAGGCTAGTTCTTCCTCGAAAATGGATAAAAATGTCATCTACAAGATTTCTGTAACTTCAATCAATTTTCTGGTTACATACATAACACATGTCCCAGCAAACCCATCTATCGAAGGATTAGAAAAAAACGAGCTATTAGCCAAGAAGGATCCGAAAAATTACATAACAGACTGTTTAAAAATGATAGGGCATTTATTACAATGGCCTATCGCTACGTTCGACTTTACATCTAGTAAAACTGCATCCTATCTTGTTCAGCAGACTAGAAATTTGTTTCGGGAGGCCAAATCTTCATTTGATGGTGTGTCAACAAAAAAAGACTCGCGATCTGGTCGTAAACTGTCTTCGTTCTCTTTAAGTCATAAGTCTCATGCCATAGTTTTTCAGGCTCTGTGTATGTTTTGGTACACATTTGTTGATTTAAGTGCAGCTTATTTGCACAAAGTTCACACCAGGATATTTGACGGTAGTGTAAAAAATAGCACTTCACCTAGAGTTTTGTACTTGCCTATCAACCTAGATATTCTATTCAACTCAACTTCTCATACAAATGTTTCTTTTGAAAATGAAGAGATGATTCTCTTAAAGCACATACATGAAGTCTGGAGTCTTCGTGAATATACTTCTGCCTCATACTCATTTGGCAGCAAGGAAATAGATTCGTTGGATAATGTCCATCCTCACTCAAATAATTCATCCGAATTCAACCAAGAAACACTGTTTGAGCAAATTATTCGTTTCCACTTTGCCATTAGTGGCCTGAATAATAATTCGCAGGAAATAATATGGGCTTGTAATTTTGTGAAAAAACTCAGTGACCAGTTGAAGTCAGTTTCTCTTACATCCTCTAACTATAACTTATATAATAGTGCAGAACTTAAGCTTATATCCTGGGTTCTTCAGATGCTTTTGTTATCTCATGACCATGATAAATGTAAGGTCGTGGTGAAGTCAGAAGCTTGTAATGGGTTGTGGGGTCAATTCCTTCAAGATTTCAAATCGCTGTCATTACTTTTTAACCAGAGTAAAAATGAGAAGATTTGCATCCAAAACATTTGTCCTCTCGTACCATTCACTCGTCAGTGTATAGTTTTTATTGTGTCAAAAACATTAGCAGGCTACCTTTGTACTATTTCTCGACGAACGACAAACCGGACTCATGCTGTCGATTCCGCTTGCTTGGCATGTATACTTTGTCAAGTCGATGGAAAGTTTGGTGATATTTCTCATCCGGCCGCTCAGTGGCCATCTCTGTCCCCATACCTCTCGGAGGTAATACATACTCATTGGGTTGATATACGAGATCGTTTTTTAAAGTGGATCATATCTCCCCATATATTCATTTTCGACGTTGACCTGTTGAACACTATTTTCCGATTGGAATCCAACGCTGGGACAGGTAGTGATTGGTAAGTTGGTTATTCGTTCCCCATATTTTAGGTATCACAATAACAATTTTTTTGGCACCATGACCATTAAATTTCCCGGTTATTACGAATTTATGTAATCAATTTGCAGTCATTCATATAATATCTTTTTTCTTCATACGTATTGGGTGATGAATTTTTTCCCTTTTATTCAAAATCAATAAATCGATCGGCTCTCGAAGTTTATCAGGTTTTTGAGTCCTGAAAAGCTTTATTGTTCCATATGTTCTTTAACTATAGAAATGCTTTGCCAATCTTCGCCTTTACGTCTGTATCAGATCCTCTACGTTCATCGATGATGCTGTCTGGGTACGTGAAAGTTCCCACCTCTTCCAGAGTTTCTCCATCAAGTGTGGTTGGTTGGGTGTTCTTGTTGTATTTGAGTATTTTTTTTTCCTTGTGTATGTTGAAGCGTACTGATGCAGAGACGGCTGCTACACTAGTTGTCTTCATCTGCGTTAGTTGGTGTGTATGTGATAGAAGGTTCAGGTGATGCTCTATGAAGTCGAAATCGTCTAGTTGCATCCAACCTGTCTATTGTATTCTGTGCTTGCGCTCAGATGTGGAGGTCATCATAATCCAGTCAACCACCAGAAGAAAGAGAAAGGGTAGGAGTAAACAGCTATATCTGACACTGGTCCTCACTTAGAATGCGTTTGTCAGCTATCCTCCTTGCGCGACTTTGCAGTGTAATCCGTCATATGAATTCCGTATGATGGTGACGATCTCCTTAGGTACTCCATAATGTCGGAGAAGTTTCCATTATAATCTATTCACACTGTCAGCTGCCTTCTCATAGTCAAGGAAGTTGATGTATAGTGACGATTTCCGTTCAATTGTTTGTTCAACGATGAACTGTAGTGTTCCGACTTAAGTCACTGCACGACCGAACCTCACGGAATACGGCCTGTCAATCTCGAATATGGGCGTCTACTGGATCTTCTACGCGGTTCAACATCACTGTTGAAAACTTTTCCTGGTACTGACCATAGTGTGATGCCTCTGTAGTTCTCACATTTGTTCAGATCTTCCTTTGGAATCTTGATGTGTCATTCTTCTCAGTCTTACGTCTTTTGCTCTTCCCAAGTGTTTCTGGATAGAACGTGGAGCATGTTTGCAGTTACTTCTGTCTGTGATTTCAGTGCTTTAGTTATTATGTTATCAGGTCCTGCCTCCCCATGCTCATAGTCACGCGCATTTCTTCAATCGTTGGTAGGGTAGAAGTTATGAGAAGATCTTAAGTTGCTGCTTCGATGTCCGATGACCTTCTGAATTTTTTAGTTGTACAAATATCTATCTGGTCCTCTGTTGTGTGGTCCGGTGAGGCCCATGTAGCTTTGTGTATGCATTTGTTTGGGAAAATTGTGCCACCTATAATCATTTTGTCGAATGCATATAAATTTGCAAAACTTTCACCATTCTCGTTCCTCGCAGTCCATATCGTCCCATGATGTCTTCATACCCTGTGTTATACATTCTGGATTTGGCGTGTAGATCTTCCATCAGGATGGTGAGTTTCTTTCCTAAACACTTCTCTATAATCGATTGTAGCTTCTTGTGGAACTGATCTTTATCATCATTTCTGTCTTTGGTGGGCGCACAGCACTTGATAATATTCATTGTAATTCCCTCGTTTGTTTTGAATGATGCTTTGATAATTCTGGATCCATGAAATTCCCATTCTATAAGTATTTTCCATTCTTTTTTGAACAACATCAGAGCAACTTGTGTGTGCGAAGCATTTTCTTTATGACCAGTGTACAGCATCATCCCCTTCGAATATAACCTTTTCTGTCCATCTTGGGTCCAATGGTTTTGCTGATTTCAAGCACTGTCAAGTCGTATCTCCTCATTTCCGTTGCTATTTGACTGGTCATCACGGTCTCCCACATTGTCCAGACGTTCCATGTACCTCCAAAAATTGCTGTGTTTGTTAAAAGGGACATCAGCCTCGTGATTTCCTAAGAATCTCAAATTTCACCATGAGGCGTCATAATATTTCTGAATGAAGATCCTTCAACTCGGTGGGGAAAGTTTAAGTGTTTTAATTTGTTTATTCTGGTTAGCGTATTTTTAGCAAGGTTGTTTTCTATGGGATGGGAGAGCTGACCCCATGCTCAATTCTCCTCCTCCATCTGGTCTTGGTACCGGGAGTAATTCCAGAACGGCTACAGGCGGAGTTACCTTAATGCATACCAAGCAGCAACACACCTAAAACCCGTCTTATCCTGAATAAGTTCAAAGCGGCAAACTATTTAATCATACTTGGAAATTCCGCTTAGGAGTATAGGATTTTCCCTAAGCCGCTTAGATTGTTTAATCAAAATCTTGAAGTAATTACCTTCCGTCGCTAAAAGGTTATATGTTGTGCAAAACAGGCATTCTAGTTGCGTTAACTTTTTGAGATGTTACTCCAGTTAATGAATATGGCGTGACACAGAGTTGGACCGAAAAACAATGTCATATATGTGTCCTGCTGCTTAATATGCGTATCATCGATTTTGCGGAAACTGATCGGTAATCAACTTATTACATCATTCATTGATAAAGATAGGCCACCGTACCCGAATCTCCTCAAAAAATAACCCATCAGGTTACATTGCTTACCGTTTCTTCAGGTAAGGTCAACTCAGATACGTGCTAGCACGGACGTGATCGCGGTTCAGATTTGTGCTTGAGAAAAACCAGCAGTATTTTATCGCTCTTCTACACTAACTGGTAGCAATATGGTTTACCTGTGTTCATCATTTAGTGTCGAGAGTCGGAAGGTCGGATTTTTTCTATATTTCGGGTTGAGATAAGCTAGGAATAAACAATCATTTAATCATAGTCGTAGCAGACAATAATTATTACTTGGGACAGTTCCAAAAGTCCTTCCGAACTGACGTATTTTATCTTGAACGATAAAGTCCATTGAATCTACTATGTCTGTATTTCTAGCCTTTCTAAGGAAGCCAAAAGGCTTTCTGAAAACCATCGTTCACTTTTGGAATGCCATAATTATAAAGAAGTAGAGGGATGTATCCTATCCTTTGGTGGATTTACCGTCCTATTTAATCGTACAGCTCAAAAGCAAATATCTGCTAAGGTCTAGTTTATGGGTCCGTATTTTGTTTCTGAACTTAATGCTATACATACCGTAGTAAGGCCACGAAAGTTTGCAGTCAAGTTCGTGAGTGCACTTGGAGTGGATCTCTCTGACTTTACATTTCGGCTAGGTAACGCCAAGTGAATGACCACACTTGGATCTTTCATGCAAGTTTCGTGGATAGCAACTGTTAGTAATGCGCAACTCTAGAGTGTTGTTTGATGAATTTTGTTCAATCATATATGATTCAAATGATAATCGACCCAATATATAGTTTGAATCTTGGAAACCAGGTTTAATATTTCGTGAACTCGTATAGTTAACACCACTAGCGCGTTTATCGAGTTAAAGAAAAGTGATTGATAGTGGGAATAAAAGAAATACTAGGAGGTGAGATAGGGATTTAATTATAGACAAAGTGTGTTGATAGTCGTCACTTTCCAGGTACATAAACCACGAAGGTTTGCTTCTTGAAGGTCCTGTAAAAGAGATCGGGCTTGACGTGATCTTTTCCATCTACAGACGTGGTTGAATAGCGCAGATGATTGGTGTTTCTATATAATTAGTTTAGTATGTGTTCGTTCTTGACTTTCGAGACCTCACCAATAGTACTGAAATCCCAGGAGATGGAGTTATTCTTATTTTATGCCTTTCCTTTCATAACCCCTTCTGCTCTCAGACCTTGAGTTTACTGCGTGGCACTATAAAAGTTAAAAAACAATTGTCTTGATCATTACAAATATATTAGGTCTTCGTAGTAGGCGAAACTTAACCACTACAGTGTTAACTTAAGCTACTACAGCTCGTTGAGCTTAGTGGTGTAAATATGTAAGTATGTGTCAAGTTACTTTTCTTAAGCACATTAGAATCTGTATTAACTGATATTTGTTTTTTGTAACTACTGCTCATTTAGTGTCGAGTCATAAATGTTCTTCATCCAGAAGACAATGCATTGATGAACTATTATGTTGCATTTTTGCATTAGATTCAATGAATTTTGCGTTAAATAAATGCAGTTCACCTCGTTTTTATTCAAAAACGAACGATGACTTAATAGTCAAGATATTGATATTCAACTATTGGGTTGTTTGTTTCTTTGGGGGACCGAGCATCATTATTAACTTCCCCCTTTTAATACTAGTTATATTTGTGTAACAAGTATACGTTTATGTACTCGGTGTTAGGGGACAGTTTGCTAGGACTGATAATACTGCCCAACCACCCCGACTGAAATGAGTCGAACAGTGTTCGAGCCTTTTTCCAGGAGTTAAAAGTTAACTGTCTGCTCTTAAATACTGAGCTGTGTAAATATACTTCCTTAAGAAAACCTGTTACTAAAACTAATCTTTTAGTACAACTACGATTCAGTTCACTCGTACTGTGTATCAGGGTAACTTTTATAGAATCTAGTCTTCAACTTCATATTTGATCTGAAGAGCTGTATTAGTAATATTTACTACTTTTCTGTTTAGGTCAAATCGTGATACCTTTTTATCGCGTTGCACAAACCTCGTTCAGTCCAAACCACCTGATGCAGTAGATTCACTTCTTGAGTTCATTCATTTGGAATCTTCGAATATTTCGATTTGCCTAGCATCACTTCAATTATAAAACAACATTTTGTAACCCTGTATCATAAAAAAATCATTTTAATATTATCTTGATTCGTAAATGTACTTTGGCCAAATGGGTTTGTTTACTTTCAGCTTGTAGGCACTTTAGTAATAATTTTTCAGTAAATATATACTTTACTATTTGTCGCAACCTAATTCATGAAATACTAAATGATTATAGCGATTAATTTATTTGGGGTTAAACAAAATGACTATGGCTGCTCGAAAAAGATCAGTCGTCAAATATTATGGATAGAACTGTGCTAGCGTGATGTAATTACAGTAAAAAGCCGTTACTCAGTTGCCGCTAAATCTTTTAATCAAGAAGTTTTGTTTCTCAAACACTCACTCGTCAAGTCTGGGAGTGATATACTGTTGTGTGACGTTTCTGAGGCTTCATTTCTTAGCCACAATATTTCTCGATCTCTCACCTGCTTTTTATATTTATCTATCTATACGCATGTGCCAGTTTCATCTACCTCCATCATTTTTGTCCCTTCAAATCAGATTTCGCTAACAAAAGTTAATTGTTCAAGAACGATTACAAAACGAAGCCTGATATCCTCGAATTATGAGGTACCTTTCTCTGGATAACATGCATTTACTCTTAGACTTTTTTGGGGACAATATCGACTTCTCAATCTCTCGCTATGTAAAGGTCATATTTACAGGCTTTCGGCCTTGAAGTTACCTGATAAGAAAGTAGTGATATTTCTTGTCATTAGGTTAGTGTGATCTAAACCCCTGTTTAAATTTCGTTTAGTTATTTTATGAGTGGTTTCAGACAATTATTCTACGACACGGTATCCATTTCACTAAGTAAATTACGTCGAACGTTTTGTCGCATTATTGATCAAGTTAGTTTATGACTACCAGTATTAGATTGGTATTCAGGCTGGTGATCAGTTCACACGGAAGCTATGAGTCTATGTTGCTTTCAGATACATATAGTTCCTCTTTTTTATAGCCACTTTAACGATAGCACAACGCACCGCGCGAACCACTAGATAATCGGTAGTAGTCACAGGCTATTCAAACTGCTTTCCTGGTATTGTATTTGGCTCAAAATAAATACTACAGAAGTAGCTAGTGTCATCACAATTTGGCCTCTTAAAAATGTTGTATGCATTCACGAAGTAAGATTAGTTCGGTACAGTGGTCTTGAGTGCTGCCACAGAATCTCGCGGTCTACGGGGTCAAGTACTGCTTTTAAGTCAAGCGAGACCACCATTACCGGACGCCGATAAGCATGCCTGTGTCATAGAACCTGAGTAGTGGTATGTGATCGATGCATACACGATCGGGTCTGTAGCCAACCTGATTTTCTCATGTTTGCAGTTCACGAGTCTTTGTTAGGCGCTCGATAAGTATTGAGGCTAGTATTCTAGATGCTATGTTAGTCAGACTAGTCCCTCTATGGTTTTCACAAGATGATTTTGACCCCTTTTATATATTGGGACGATCAGTGATTGTGGCCAGTCAGACAGAATTACGTCCAACTCCCAGATTTTAGCTAAAACATTAGACAACCGGGTAAGTAATAGTGAGGTTAGACGTATGATATTACGGAATGATGGCAAATCAGCTGGTGAGGTTGTGAATCTTCATTGACTCAGATGGTTGGGTCACGTCTTACGTATACCTGGACACCGATTACCACGACGCGCAATGTGGACTAGTGTAGGGGATGGTTGGAAGAAAATTAAGCGCGGTCAAGCCAAAAAGTGGCATCAGTGTTTGAAGTCACTTCTAGTCTGAGCCATGTTGGTAAATTCAGACTACTTGTTTGGGGTCCGCGTGACTATCGTAACCAATGGTTGGTGACATGGCTCAGAATCGATCACAATGACGTAGGTGTATCAGTCAGTCAGTAACAACGTAGAACTTCGTACGTATGTACATCAGTTCGAGTTGCCACACCACATTAGCACAGAGATGCAGTTGTCGATTCAAATCCCGTAGTGGTAGAGGTAGCAAGAGTATAAGCAGTAATCGGGAAGATTAGGGTTTGGAGATGTTATTTAAAGAGTATAATCCAGTGAAATAAATTTGGAAAGAGGAAAAAAGGGACATGAAGAATTCAGAAGATTAGAATTTGGGAGAACACAGAGAGTGGATGCACCTGCGCCATTGCAAACGATTTTGAGCCATGTCATTCAGGGTCTCTAACCATCGGTTGCTATCATCTCGCGGTCCCCAACCAGGTAGTCTACACCTACCAACATGACTCAGTCACTTGTCAG